AATCTTATTTTTTGTAAATCCTGCAGGTTTTCAGTTTTACACATTGGTAATTACTTGTCTACCACTGATTTTTAGAATAATTTAATCAGTAGTCAGTATATATCTCTCAGACTTGAAAATTAATTGCATAGCCACATTTTGAACTGGAAACATCCAGACATCCATCACCGACTGATGACACAACATAAACTGAAAACATGTTCCAATAATTATGTTAATATATTTATCTTCTGATTAGTTTTTGGCTTGATTTATGCCTCATACCTTAAAAACTCCAGGTCCTGGGTAAAAGACCTGGCACCCAAAATACAAACCTTGAAAAATCAGCTAAAATTCTTTACAGTGCATGTTTTATAGGTTTAGCTTACAAGTTTTCAGTTTGACACTAACTTTGAGACAAATGAGCATAATTCACTTTTTTTTAAATCAGGGTTACATGAGGTACTTATTACCTCTACAGCTGCAGATGCATCCAAGCAAGTCATCAGGTACACAAAAATAGCTTCAGGTCACGTTTAATCCTGCAAGTGTTACATGACTGTTATTGTTAAACGTCCATTGGGACCAAACACAGAGATGTCACTAGGTGAAACTGTGTTCACAAAGAAGAGTAACTTTTGTAGATTTCCAGAGATAAACAAAATTCTCAGTACACTCTAGGCCTTTGCACTGTGTTGATTTTTCATGAGTAATTTGTTTAAAATGTAGTTTCTTTTGTTTTTGTAAAAAGTTTTTTTTTATTTAACTGACTAACTTTTAAAATATGTGCACTATCGACAGTGTAATGTATGACTTTGTGTTATTTGTTTAACATTTCTAAAATGAAAGAAAAAGAATATGCTTCCGTTTTGCCTTAGTTTAACTTAACATATTGATTTCGAATTGGGTGATGTAATGGACGTTACAAATACTTTTAAGTTAAATCAAGCTTGATTTTAGTGCACTGAATTTAAGGATATTAAGTAGAGAAATTGCATACATTATTTGATATTACAAAGGATTTTAAGTGTATTGAACTTTAAAAAATTAAAAACATTGAAGAATGGCCTCAAGATTTCAGAACAGATAATTTAATTACAAAATACTTTATTATGTATGTGTTAATCGGGCCGCAGTAGCCTAATGGTTAGAGCGGGCGGCCCATATGCAAAGCCTCTGCTCGCAAGTGGGCGGCCTGGGTTCGAATCCAGCCCATGGCCCTTTCCCGCATGTCTCCCCCTCTCTATCTCTGCCCCCATTCCTGTCAAGCTACTGTCATTAAAGGCCACTAGAGCAAAAAAAATCTTTAAAAAAAAAAAACAATTATGTATGTGTTAATGTAAATGATTACATCAAACATTTAAAGTAGATTCAATGTAATCAGGCATACATATAATTTATGAAATGTTGGTGCTATAGCCCAAAATTCCTTGTAGAATTCCACTTGAAAGGTATCTGGGCCTGGGGCTTAATCATGGGGCAGTTGCTGGAGAGCTTTATTAACTTCTTTTATTTTAAGAGGCAAATCTACAGTTGTTGTTCTCTGGTGATTTTGTAGACATTTTCTAGACTTGTTGCTATGCTAAAAATTCTCAAAATGAAATTTCTGTATGGGGAATAGTTTTTTTTTTATGATCAATTATTTTATTTCACATAATTTACTTTAATCCGTTTTACTTTTATCGAATTCTATTAAGGATGTGTCAATCTGAAGAGGCATTGTTTCAATCCTCTCAATCCAAGTTTTAATTTGGATATCTTCCAATTCTTTTATTTTTTAAATGTTCAAAAGGAGATTATGAGGCCTCAAATAACAGCTTTTCCTGACTCCCACAGAATAATTGATGTTCTTGGTAGGGCACTAAAATGCAGCCATTATATAAGGCTGACACATGACAAACTTAAAAGAACACCAAATTTTTCTAATTTTGACTGTTTATTGAGTCTGTCTCCCAGTTGTTCCACATATGTAACGTATGCAACCATCTTTAAATAAAAGCACTGTCACGACCACTGGTCCTGGCAAAATAAAACCCAAAAGTATGACTACGAGGCAGTCAAGTTGTGAAGGAAAATCAGTTTTACTTGGTCCAAAAACAGCCAAAACCAGGAGATCAATCATACAGGCAAACAAATCCGATAAGGGGCAGGCAGGAATTCGAAGTCCAAGAGGGCAAAAGTGAGGTAAAAACAAGAAAGGCAGAACAGGTAAATGCGGGAAAGAGAGAATAATATCTATTTACAATATGACACAAAACATATATTAACCAAAGCAAAGGGCATACCATACATGCAGTCAATTAGTTAATCAATATTATAATATTGCTCAATAATGGTGTTCCTTATCCATTGTCTATATACGGTAGCTTATTCCTAGTAGAGTAGAGCAAATTTATTCTTAAGGTGAGAAGTATGATGCATATAAATTACATTGTAACCATCTGATAAATTAAACTAATTAAAATAATCTTTTTAATTTTTTTTCAATTTTAGTCATAAGTGGGGATACTGACGATTTGGCCAAAAATGTTCTATTTTAGATCATATTTGACACAAATACCCCACTAAAGCATCACAATGAAGCTTTTCTGTAGCCTTTGCAGCATCAGATTCAGGTGCAGGTCTTATATGGACAAATGCTTCCTTCATTTTCACGCCTTTTCCAGCAAAATTGCTGGAAGAAGTGTAAATAGGATGAAACACTGGTTCTTTACTGTATTTTTTCCCTGTTGAATTGTTCCTAATTGCAAAACTGATCATCTAATTTTTAGACTGTGTCAGGCACTTGAAAGACTAAGCCATTGGCATTATTTCCGTGCAAATAATGCAAAGATCAGACTGTATCTTTATGAATGTGGGCTTTGTTTTTATCTACGTTTTGTTATTTCTTACAATTCACGCCTTACCTTCCCATTACTCATTTTGTCACTTCGGTTACGGTGGTTGATAGGTCGTTTTTTGGGTCCTTGTGTAAATCTTGTGCAAATCTTTATTTGTACGAAACTATCTAGAGTCTTTGGAGAACTAATGTGGACAAAGAATGTTGTTGAAATTTGTCTGCTCATTTATTGAGTTTGTTTATGTGTCTCAATCTTTAGCCAACACACAAATATGTCTCCAATTATGTAATTTAAAGCAGTTCTTGGGTCACAATATTCTACAAGCTTCCTATTGTAGCCAAAACAATTATCACAGACCTCACTTCTTGTTGCTGTCTTTTTTAAAAACAAAAAACCTTCACTATTGTTCAGGCTTTAAGTGAAAAAATAGTTATTAACACAACCTTCTGACTGGTAGATGACTACTCTTCTTCCTGAGGTGCAGCTACTCTGAGAGACAATGACATATTTTGAAGATGGGATGGAACATTTTGAGACAATGCAAATTTGATAGGAAATTTCTGGTGTAGTCTATAGTCATCTCCCGCCCTGACTATTACAACTTCTAATTAATCTCCTAATTAGTCTCCCAGCCTGTAGTGTAAAACCCCTACAAATGGTCCAGAACACGGTGGCGTTCCACGTTGATGGAATGATCTGCAGAGCACTACAAGAACCGGGCATCCTTGTCTATCTTCAAGAAACTCTTGAAGACCCAGCTCTTCATAGGGCATCTCCTCCCTAACTCTTACCCTGCATCCCCCACTCCCACTGCTATCCTTTCTGTACTTCCCTCCATCTCTAAACTGTCACCACTGCTGCCTCTAAAAGTAACTAGTGATTTTTTTCTATTTAGCTTTTGTCATATTGATGTATCTGAATTCTAAGTCACATTGGATAAAAGTCTCTCCTAACTGCACAAACATAAATTGAACAAAAAGTAGAACTCATTTATTGTTATTTGATTAAAAAAAAAAGATGAGGTGCACGACACTACCGTAATCTGTATAACAAAAGTCAGAAATAAAAAAAACATAACACAACAAGTACACCAATCATAGGAGGGTCCTTCAAGCTGGCATTGGACTCTGGAGTGGACATATTCAGTATTGCAGGTAGTCATAGAAACTGGCAAGCCATAAATATTGTCAAACAATAAATGAGTGATAGTCAGCATTCAACACCTGCCTACATTATAAAATCCAATTTCCACATCTTTATTTGACCACAAATGTGTATTCGTTTGAAGGGATAGTGGAAAGTGTTAATCAGTTACTTGCATTTTTGGAGAAATTAGCAATGTAAGTGTCTTATACTTGAATGTGTGGGATTATTAATGAAAAGATCACAATGTTAAAACACATCAAAATATAATATTTTCAGTAAATTTGAAATATTTAGACATATGCATATACAATTATTATTCATATATTCCAGTGCGCTATATATTACACGTGGTTAACTAAATAGCTTTTCTTCGAAATGGCATATTATTATATTAACACATTTACATATTATTTTCATAACAAACATACACAAAATGATTGGTCACTCAAGTGTTTTCACGTTTTCTTTTTTTTTTATCAGAAAAACTTTTCACTTTTCTTAAACTCTTAACTTAGATCCCTAACAAAAAAAAAATGTTTAAAATAATAACCACCGCCCCTCAACTCACCATCAATCAAATAAGGAGATTTTCCATCCTTCTCACTCCCCCCTCCTCCTCCCTCGCAGCCACTATTGACGTCCGTTCGTCTGTCACCGGCATCTCCGCATCTTTCCAGGCTGTTTTTGAGGTCCGGTCATTTAGTCATGAAGGCTCCTCTAACTCAAACTTGGTTCACTTCCGAGCCGGGTCGTATCGTGGATTTTTTTGTGGGGGTTTAAATTGTTTTCGGGCGGTCCATCAGCCGATATTCCGGTGTCGGTAACTCGCTTTTTTTCCCGACGCTTTTAAGAGTTCCGTAAATCATCTACCTCTGAACGGGTTATATCCTTCCCGCCGCTCCATCGAAACCACTCGCTAATTACCCCCCCCCCCCCCCCCTTTGAACACCTTGTGGGGTTTTTCCGACACTGTCGTGAGTTTTTTTTTAATTATTTCTTGGCAAAAGTTGGAGACCACGATACAAAAAAGCTTCCATGAGTGCTCCTCCGCTGATCCGGGCGCCCAGCCCGCTCCCGTTCTTGGGGGGTTCGAACAGCTCCAACGCGGGGGGTGGAGGAGCGGGAAGTGGAGTGATCTCCTTCCACATTCAGATCGGTATGAGCCGGGAACCAGTGCTGCTGGATGCCTCGGAGCTCAATCTCGGTCAGGTCCGTGAAGTGGCGTGCTCCATCGTTGACCAGAAGGTAAAAAAAGGATGTAAATGCACTTATATTTACTTATATGCACTTATGAATACACTTCAGTATTTACGTTCACATTTCTATACTATACTTGTGACATGTTTAGCTGAATTATGAAAAACACTAGATTCACACTATACATGGCCATTATTATAATCGATGTGGTTACTCCCTTTTATACTCTTAAGTAATTCACTGTTATAACTTCCTTCTTTTATACCAGAAAAGAATGTTAAAATATACGGGGATATGTGACACATCCAAATCATGAACAGGCTTTTACAAGTTGCTGTCATTTGAGGAAGACAAAAGAAAGAAATCGGGTGATATTGATTAGCCATAAAGTTGAGATCATAATGAATAAATCATTCCATAATTTCCATACCTGAATATCGGAATTCTTTCAAATGTTTCTCTTGTCCCCTCAATCTCAATTCAGAAAGGGTGGAGACTGTCATTTTGACATTGCTGCTGATACATTTAGAAATTTGTGTTGATTTTAGTTAACTTTGTCTTCATTATCTTGTTTGATTTGCGTTGTAGTTACCGTATTCTTACTGTTGACATGTGTTATAAGCCTGACAATTCATGTAACTATAGAAGAAAACATTTTTGTCACTAGTTATTATTATTTAGACTATTTGATTTTCTTTGAAAGTATTTTTTTATGGCTTAAACTATGTCATAGCATTGCAGGACCAAAAAAAGGACCATTTGGTCCATTGCAGGACCATAAATTACACAAATAAGGTAATGGTAGATATTTGGTTTTCTATCCCTGTGTGACCCTATCCCTCTCCCTGACCAATGACAGCTGGTTAGGTTGTGTTAAGTTAGGAATTGGAATAAGCGTTTATAGAAAATGTGTATTAAAAAATGGATGGGAAATAAACATAAGTAAATCTGTTGTAATGTTTCCTTACTTAATTCCTTGCAAACTTGATCTTACCTTTTAAAATTTTGACCTCTGACGATGGGTATGAAAACGGCTCCCAAGAAGTATTGAAAAAGGTTTCAATATATAAATATATATTTTCCGTTCATTTTTTGTTCAAACTCAGATGACGCTTTTCTCTCTATCTGAAAAGTTATTTTTCTGCTACAGTCCGCACTTAAAGGGGCTTCCCCCTACTAGATGTCAACATTCAATTAAGCAGAGCACTAAACTCAGGCATTTTTGTTAGCTTAGTTTAATTTTAATAGCCGATTTAAAACAGGACAATCTCAATTTTTATTCTAAAAAATCTATATGAGTGCATATGTATACATATGAAATAAAGAAATGGTAAATTTGAATACTATATATATATATACTGGTATATACTGCTTTTTCCCAATGAGGCTGCTGGGGGGCCTATATTGAAATCTCAATAAACTAATTGAATCCCTGGAAACTTTTAATTTAAAATGTCATAAAATGCACCTTGTTAGTGATTTTTTGTAATGTATTCATTCATTCATTTATAATACTCATTCATTTACACACTGTCATGCAGGCTGTTGTACTGTATACAACCAGCTGTAATGGGCTGTGGATGCAAGCAGTTTCTCGTGGTAATATGTCATCATTTTTTTGTGTTCAAACATTTGCATGTCTAAATGTAATCCAGATAATTGAACTTTTCATAAAAAACATGTATTTTAACTACAGAGCTAACATAAACACCCTGAGAGCAAGACCTGACAAACAATGGCAAGGGGAATCCCACAAAACCTAGTTCAAACAGTCTTTTAATAATTCCGGTGGAACATTATCCTGTCCTAAATATAACATTCACACATGTGACTCAATCATACTGAAGTGACAATTAAACAACTGAATAACAATAATTTGGGTTTCTGTTGATTCAATTATGAATCAACAGAAACCCAAATGAGTCCAGATCATACAATTAAAAGAAAAAAAAGCCCATATGGTTGCTTAGGTACGTATTGTGATCCTAGTTGCTTGTGGTGTTGTTTGGATTCAGACTTGTTAGGTTATTTCCTTCTTACACACCTGTTGTGCTTTAATTTTATTCATGTCTCTTTTTAAGGAGCAGTGAAGCACCAGTCAATTTTCAGATTGTCTTACCTTTGCCAGTCCTACAAAGACACTGGTTCTACAAAGAAACTTGTTCCCTGAAACCTTTGGTTTTGTTCATATCTGAATGTTTTTGATGTTCAATGTATCCTTTACCATCACTCTCTAGAAGTCTTTAGACTCATCATTAACCGTAATTGGAAAAAATTACCCACTTGGAAAACTCACCAGACACGCTGCAGACCAGACCTCCACCTCCATTTTGTTCAATGACTTTTCTCTGAGTCCATCTGTGTTATGGCCGAAACTGAGAAAAAACATTTTTTTGTTGAAACTCTCTCATCCAGATGGAAAGAGAAATAGATCAATTTAACAGAAAGAAATATCCAAAAGAGCCAGACATAGTAAGGTCATCCATCGGCTTTAACCTGTTGTTTCCTCATTTTTTCCTCATTCACATTTGTGAATTTAAACAGGAGTTCTTAATCTGTATGTCTTTATAATGATGTGGGAATTAGTACCATTGTTCTGTCAGATGGAGTTTTTTATTAGTTTTTTTTTTCATTTCTGTTCTCGAATAAAGTTAATGTTTATTCCATTCAGTCTTAATTAATCACTAATATAGGGATTATTGCTCTTTTACGAGCAATACATTTAATTCACATTTCTTATAAAGGTACTTAAATCAAAGTTCACATAATTTATACCAATATGTCCTTAATAGAAATAGTTTAATGAGCATGGGTATTTGATACTAGGAAATGAAACAAGTTATGGTTAGTTTGATCAAGAGTAGATAAAAAATATAACCATTTTAGTCTGCCCAAAACTTCCTCAAAAGCTTGCCTCACAACTGAGATAGGGTGAATGCTTTAAGGTATACCTTTTTTATTATTATTATTTTTTAAAGAGACTTAGCTTTGGTGTCTGTTAATACAGCCAAATCTAACAAAAAATCTTACTATTTTTCTGTTTTGTCAGATCACCAAATGCCTACAAAGTTTGGATAATTGAAGCTAAATTTCCACTCACTTAATGTATTTCATGACTTTACATATGCTTTGATAATATCCAGATTTTTTTTAACCACATCATTGGACAGAATGAGAATCGCATTCACAGTAATACAATTGAAAAAAAAGGTAATTCATACAGAGTTCATTGATAAAACAGTCCTTGCTAAGGAAACCAGCAGATTGCACAGATTCTATTTTTTTTCCAAGCTGGTCCCACAATCCACACATAGAGCAGTGAATTTGTCTATACTTTTATGTACAATGCTCTCCCACAGAAAAAGTTAGAAACAGCAAGTTGTCATGAATATATGTTCAGTTCAAAATGTTGAGGTGCTGAGCATACTTATGAATAATAAAAAAAAAAAAAAACTTTATTAAACTAATTTAAGGATGATGGCGGTCTGAATCAATGGTCAAAATACACTGATAATCACAGAACTCAACTGTTATTGTAACTGTGTTAAATTACTGAATTACTGCTTTAAAAATAAATCCTCTCCCAAAATCATACACCCATTGCAATAGGACAGTGCTCCGTATCTGTTCCTCTTGTATTAGGCGATAGATAGATAGATAGATAGATAGATAGATAGATAGATAGATAGAT